AGAGGTATTACGCGCAGAACTTGGTCCCGGCGCCCGACCGACCGCGTGTTCTCTCCCGCGCGCATATTAAGAGAGGCTGTCTCTCCCGCGGATACGCCGACAGTCGCCGCGATTTCATTATACCGATGTTAGAAATAAAATCTCGTCCCGTAGTTATTGTGCCGTCTCTCGTCGGTTAGAGTTTATAAATTTTAGAATGTAATCATGTCTATAGTCGCGTATGAGATATATAGCGTATTCTTTCTCGCGCATACGATTATTCGAGGATCCTTTCTATCTTTTGTGAAATTGTGCGGAGGACGACCAACGTGATACATCTCAGGGGAACTCGCGCGGGATCTACTATAGTTTACGGGAGGTTTCGTATTGCCAAGATTACTAGAATTAATTACTTCGTACGGACCTTATTAAGTCTCGTGCGTTAATAATTATTCGCCACGTATGCGGGCAAGTTCACTTCCGGGTCCCGCGTGTCACCTGATATCTCCGCGTCGGGTCATCTCAAAGGCGCGGGATCATAACAACGCGCCGCATCTCGGCCGTACATGCGCCGTACAGTATCGTTCCGAATGTAAAATCCGACTTCGTTTTTTTGGTATTTCGGCGTCACATAAAACTCTCTGCCCGCCACGAACGACAAGTGCGCGGATCTCAATTCGTAACTTATCTAAAGAATATTATTTTTTTTGTACACCATATTACTCAAACTTTTATATTTTTTTGTTCTTCGTCCACCTTATTGTTAAATAATATTCCATGACTATTACATTTGAGTGATTCTAAATAGCCACTCTCGACCTCCGTTCTCTCTCCCGACCGAACTCCCCCCTCTACCCCCTGACGCTCTGAGCGAGTCGAGTATTGCCGTCGCGGGACTTTTGGGATGTTTTAAGATTTACGAAAGTCTTTTTCTAGTTATGAATTTTTAGAGTGGCGCGAATCTCGCGCCTGGCGCCCAGCAAACGAAAATTTATTGTGTCTTCGCGAATCTCCCGCTTTCCGCCAAAGGTGTGCCGTCGGCCAATTACATCGGCCCTACTTTTCGGATAACTAGTTATCCGACCGAATAAAAAGAATTACGGTTACAATAGAAATTAAAAATTTTTAAAAATTAAAAATTAAAATTGTTTTTAAATAAAAAATTAAAAAACTTAGCACTGCGTAATTAAACAAACAATATGTTTAAATTAATGTATTCCTTCGCTTGAATGTCCTTCAATTAAAGTTTAGCAGTGCTAAGTTTGTTTAATTTTCTTAAATATATATATTTTATAAATTAAACTTCGGCTCGTATACAATTAAAATATGTGATATAATAAAAGGCCAACTTAACGAGCTTATATGATATTAATTAAAAAATTTTTTTATTAATTTACGTCATAATATACAAAAGATAAGATAAACATTTCGACTGTACGACAGTCTTTTTCAATATCATGCTAATATGTCAAAAAATTAATTTAGTCATATCGACCTTAATATAAATACAACATTTATGAGATTATCATATGACGAACGCAGTACAAAATTTATGTTTGTTGGCTGAGTTAGAGCGTCAGATTTATGTATGTCATGCTGTTATATTATGTAACGACATTTTTTGTCACGAACTTAACACTTTTTTTAAAAAATTATTTCTTTTTACATAACATAATCACAATGTGTACTTTTTAAAAAACAAATCGATATCTGTCTTAGACAGATATCGATTTGTTTTTTAAAAAGTACACATTTGTGATTATGTTATGTAAAAAGAAATAATTTTTTAAAAAAGTGTCTAAGACAGATATCGATTTGTTTTTTAAAAGTACACATTGTGATTATGTTATGTAAAAAGAAATAATTTTTTAAAAAAAGTGTCTAATTGTAAGACAGATATCGATTTGTTTTTTAAAAAGTACACATGTGATTATGTTATGTAAAAAGAAATAATTTTTTAAAAAAAGTGTTAAGTTCGTGACAAAAAATGTCGTTACATAATATAACAGCATGACATACATAAATCTGACGCTCTAACTCAAGCCAACAAACATGATTTTGTACTGCGTTCGTCATATGATAATCTCATAAATGTTGTATTATAATAAGGTTGATATGACTAATTTAATTTTTGACATATTAGCATGATATTGAAAAAGAGTGTCGTACAGTCGAAACGTTTATCTTATCTTTTGTATATTATGACGTAAATTAATAAAAAAATTTTTTAATTAATATATATAAGCTCGTTAAGTTGGCCTTTTATTATATCACATATTTTAATTTCTTAATTTTAAAAAAATTTTTAATTTTTTTAATTTTTAATTTCTATATATTTTTTCATGTTTAATTTTTATTTTTTTTTTATTTATAATTTTTTTAATTATTGGGAAATTTTTAATATTTTTTGTAGAATGTAGGAAATTAAAAATTATTTTATATAACCTTTTTGGTTAATTAAATAAAATTAAAATATTTTAAAGTTTTTATTTTTAGCATAATTTTTTTATATTATTAATTTTTGTAGGATAGATTTTTACAGGGACATTACGCGGACTTAGCACCTTTTTACCTTTTTTAAAAAGATAATTTTTAGGTACAAACATACCTCTGACCAAACTTTTCTTCCAGAATTTGTTGTCGTCAGCTATATCTCGAAATTTCGTGCACGTGGAAACGTATATTTACAGTGCCTTTCAAACTAATATTCACATTTTCCATAATTGTGAAAATCATCTCGGGAGGCAAATCCAGTATCGCCATTATTTAATGTGAATAATATTATATATTATATATTAAAACTACGAGTTGTTTTAATATTATGTTTTATATATATATATTGTGACGTGACATTTTTACTGTCCGTCACAAGGGCCGAAGGCCCGGCCGGGAAGGCGGGAATTCGGGAACCTTTGCTCTCTCGCCAATCTTTGAGAGAGAGAGAGAGAGCACCCGAAAAATCATTTTTGCGTTTTCTACCGCGTCGGAGGATGCGCTTCGCGCATCCGTTTCGCGAATTACTTTATTTATGATTTTTGTTTAAGCGATTTTTGCGTTTTCGGCGAGCAATTTTGCATAGGGTATGTCTCAACCGGAGAAACAGAAAGAAAGAAAGAGTGAGGACGATTTAGGACTGAGCAGAGGCCACCAAGTCCGGATCACGCCCGGTAAATATTATTCTCACATAGATTTTCTGGATTGCTCCTCCCGTTAAGAACCTGGGTACCGCGTAAAATGTTCCTTCTTTCGCAGAGATTCCGGCCAGAGACGGGGATGGCACTCTCTCGCGAGAGGTGAAAGAGCCCGGAAACAAAAGGCGCGGGAGATACCCTGCTCGAGCCCCCGCAGATCCGGATACACAAAATTTCACCATTGATCAAACAATCGATCTGGCGGATTTTTGGGAGGAATCGCAAAGAGGCGCGCTAGTAGGAGTCTTCCCGACGACCAATATAGAGGAACAGCGGAACTCAATGCAGAGAAAAGAGGAACGGCGAGAGAAAAATTTGCATCAAGCAAATTCGCAGGGTCCCGCGGGGCACCCGGCGGCCCTGCCAGGGTGCGTTCAGATTCCCCACCTAAGTACTTTAAGTCACTCAAACGCCGTTCAGATGCCTCCTGCTTCTGGTCAGGTGACCTCTGAGTATATCGTTCAGATTCCACCCGAACACACCCGAGTGAGGGGAAAAAGCACTCTGTTCCTGACACAGGAGGTTTGTTCGCGTCGCATGCCCCAACTTGCTCCTTTTTACTTCAATGCGCTCGTATTGGTCCAATTCGAGGAGCGCACCAATACAAGCGCATTGGAGTAAGAAGGAGTAAGTTGGAGCATGCGACGCGAACAAACAGGGTGTCGGTGGGTGGATTTTACGCGCCAAGAAAACACAACGATGAATTTAAACTCGTGGTCACGGAGACTGGTTCTCCAGTATTTTCCGATAACAAGTTGGTCGTATGGGACGTTGATGGTAAGTTATTTGTTATTCACGCTCTAAATATTCAGCTGGCCTATTCTGTGACTTTTATCGACAGTTTCATTATCGTTATAACGTTACGCAGATAGTAAAAAAGCTGCACAATGATGTTATCACGATGGCGAAACTGTATTTAAGAATTATAATACAGAATAGGCTTGCAGTTATAGTTTTTTCTTTTTCATCAATCAAAGTGATTTATTTTTCTAAATAATTTTCCAAATATTATGTGCTATGAGCTGAGCAAGGTTAGGTTAGGTTTTAATACTAATATCACAGTATAACAGATACTAATATTATGAACAATCCTACATATAATGATAACCGACGTTTCGATCTATATCAAATCATTTTCAATGTGATGTAATACATATGAAAATAATACAAATATAAACGGTCAATTGGTTAAAAATTAAATTCATTTGCAGATATTACTTGTCGAGGTAGAATATTTAAACAAACTATCTACCTCTGCTTCAACAATTTCCAATCTGAACAAAACTAATATTAAAAATTGAAACCTAAAAAGTATGTACACAGATTGGAAATTGCTAAAGCGGAGGTGGACAGTTTGTTTAAATAGTCTGCTTCTATAAGTAATGTTTGCAAACGAATTTAATTTTTAACCGATTGACCCTTTATGTATATATTTATTGTTATTTATAGCTAGCATTATCTTTATAGATATCACAATACACTGAAGATGACCTGTAGGTCGAAACGTCTGTTATCATTATATGTAGGATTGTTTATAATAGCATTAAAAACCTCGGCTCCTAGTCTATATTTGGTATTATTTTTATATATTTGAGCCTCAATCATTGTTTATTATTTATTTTTCTTTTATTTCAACAGGTAATTGTCCGATGTACCTTGATATAACACCTGAAAATCTAGCATCTTTCAATCTATGTGTTGAAAAGAATTCTTCAGGCAAGTTCTTTGTTTTACTAATCTCTGTTTTAATTTTGTAATATTGTATATGAGACTACTTTAGTTGATGAATCTTAAAATAATATTTATTGATGAATAGATGAGACTCTAGTGTCAGAAACAGAACTGTTGTCTGGTGAAGAATCAAATTCTGAAAATAAAAATTTACTAACACTTATTGACATCTCTGGCAAGAAAAGTACGCATGTTTTTTTTTAAATTATATTTTCGTCTCTTTGTATACTGCTATATTCATTACCAATTCTTATTTCTTACCACAGATGCAGCATCGTGGAAGGATGATTATGCTGTTAAAACTCTTATTGATGAATGGAGAGGACATGAGAGCTATTTCAAAAGCACTACCATTACTAACAAGAAAGTCTGGGAAATGATAGCCAGCAAGTTGAAGAAAGAGAACCCACTCTGGGACTATACTGGTCAGCAATGTGAAGACAAATTTAAGGACCTCAGGAAACACTATGTGAAAGCTAAGGACAAGAATGAGAAGGGTAGTGGCCTTCCAGTTGCTACATGCAAGTTTTATAAAGAGATGGATGATGCTCTTGGTGACAAGCCAGCTGTGAAACCTGTGTCCATAGCTTCAACACTAAAAAAGCGTAAATCTACTATTGTAGAAACTCAAGATTCAAGTGCAGCTTCTATATGCTTAACAGCAGCAGTGAAGCCGATAGTGAGCATGGTTCTACTCCTAAATCCAAAATGAAAAAAAAAGTGTCACTGAGAAAAACATCGAAAGACTATTAACCATAAGAACAGAGGAGTCTAACAGAAAAGAAGAGGCCCGACAGAAGAGGCACACTGAACGTATGGAACGACAGGATCGTGCCATTGAAGTTTATCAAAGTGTAATGAGCCAACTCTTGAAGAAGTTATAGAGTTGTAAGTAGTGTGTAGTTTTTTCTTTCTATTTTGACATTATACACTGATTTCTTTAATTTTTTTTTTTTTTTTTATTGTAGAGTTTTATATTATTGGAGCACTTGATTTTGTATTGCAATTCTTATGCTAGTCAGAGAATTATCTCAGTGTATTAATACAAGTGTATTAATTTGAAGAAGCGGAGGAAGTCCCGAAATTTAGTCGGTAATACGCCATATCTTATTCGTCCTGTTCTACTAGCAACTCATTGGTGCTCTAAATATAGTTGTCTTTATCGTAAGTTTATCGTTATCAGCTCAGTTCTCGGTGCTCGCTTAGAAACGACTTTCGTTATACATATTCCTATTTTGGATAAAGGTAAACGATACTTTTCAACGGAAACGCTCTTAATTGCTTTTTTCTAATTAATAATTTATCTTACTTCTGCGTAATGAGCATGGATATTAAAATATTCTTTTTAATTTATTTTCACGGTTTAATATAATAAATATCACATACGTATCTCCCGATAATTATTTACCACTTTTAATTAACGTAGGTAGAAATTATAATTTATTAACCGTTTGATTGTATATAAATAATTTATCTGATAGAAAAGTTATTCATTAATTTTTTAAAGTAAATACTAGCAAAACATACACCTATTCTGAGACCCCTCGCATTAAATATAACTAGGGATGAGTGACGTCTGGGTCGACTGACTTGTAAGTTATATTGTTATTAATGCGTGTTGTCTCTCGCAAAGCGTCGTTTATTTATAATATTTGTTCTTTAGCTGATAAAACGAGCGACGCCGACGTTTATTTCGCTCAAATGACAATCATTAAGTGATTAAAAAATTGTACTTAACGATAACAGTCCCGTCGTGTTTTACTTGAAAATTGCAAAATTAATCGATAAATTGTGGACAGTATTCTGCGTGTCGTATCACGCACACCGGACTTTCAGTAATATTATGTATAATTCTGAGGTCACGTTTAATTGCTCGAGTCCCGATAGTGTCACAAATTACGTGCTTGCTTGCTTTACGTGGAGTTGCATGGAAATAAACAATGCGCTACAGAAATCCGTATAATTTTCTAACATTTTCCGCGCTTTAAATATAAAGCTTTATTGAAAGTTGCTATTATTATCTTTTATTCCTTTGAGATAATTAGATAAACTTAATTTAATTAAATTAAAATAATTAAATATAACTTTTATATTAATATCTTCCATCAAGTTTCAAGACAGTTCATGAGCTTTAACATATTCATTAATGTAGTCATTATTCACCTCAAATTAAAATTAAAATATTAGGCGAGCATTCTGTGGATTTGGCATATTCGAGGTGGACGACGTTTGTTCATTTCCAAGCAGCTCCACGTAACCCATGGACAACGGTTGCAACAGCTACCGCTAGTGTCCCAAGTAGGAGGCTGTGTATAATAAATTTCTTATCCCGGCGTTCCATTGAATCTTGCGTCTTCTTTCATGCATGGCACGTGCTTTTCGGCCCTCAGCTGCTATGTCTCTTCGTGGAATCTTCAAATACCCATCGTTACTCGAGCACGTGTCCCCTTTCGTTTGTCCTTCTTCCGGTCGGGGAAGGGACCGAGAACGGGCATAAAACAAAAACTCATTGCTAAACTGAAAGAAAGAACTTTGTTGTGCATGTTTCTCATTTAGTAGTAACCTTTAATAGTATTATTTTAGTATTTAGTTCTATTCTTATTTCGTTTTGTAACGTCCATTTCCACTAATGCAGATTAACTTTAATCTTAGTTTAATTAACTTTTTACTTTTCTAGTTCTAAGAATTAGAAAAAGATAAAAAGTAAATTAAACTGAGATAAAAGTTAATCTACATTGGTGGAAACGTACATAATTCACAGTATTGATCTCTATATAATTTTAATTACTTCAGTAATTCAGTAATTCATTAATTTTAAGTAATTCAAGATATTGTAAATGATTGTTTGCGATTGGTGCTACCTGAAAGTATTATTGGGATTAAGTTCTTTGCACATGTTATTGACTCAGATACTTAATGTGATTTAATGCTTAAAGACTGAAACACTTGTTATGTTGAGGATATATATATATTTCTAATATATTTTATTGCCACATATATAAATATTTGTAATGTATATTGTATAGGTAAAATGACATGAATAAATACAGTTCTATCACAAGTATTTATGCCTTGATTCATTATTTTATTCTTCATCAAGAAACTTTGTCTACTAACAAAATATATAATTAGAAGTGTTATACTTATGACCACTAGTGTATAATACATAACTATCAAACTAAGGTTACTAGATAATTTCTTTTTGCTAAACCAGCATCTTCATCTGCCACTGGATCTTGAACACAAACTTCATTCTCCCTGCCTTCTTCAATGTTTTCATTTTCCCAACCTTCTAAGATATATTCTTCTATGTTTTCATCAAATCTTTCAAGACAGATGTTGTGAAGAACTGTGCAAGCAATTATCACAAAGGGGATCATGTCCATTCTATTCATGTCTAGATATTTCAGCCTTCGAAATCTTCCTTTCAGCAATGCGAATGCTCTTTCAATGACTTGTCTAACTGTAGACAGTATGTTGTTGAATCTTTTCTGAGCCTGCAAAAGAAAAAATATTCTAATAATTTCATGGTTTCGACATGCAAAGAGAAGTGAAGAAAATGTTTACCAAATGAAAAATTAATATGATTCTATAGATACAACTAAATATATAAAGTATGTATTTACCGCTGTAAGATTACCACGATCACGAAAAGCAGAAATACACCAACGTAAAATAGGATAAGCTTTATCACCAATGATGTATTCCTCGTTAGGGAAATATGATTGTCTATCCCTCTGGACTTCTGACCAAAGATCAGAATTTCTAAATACTCTTATATCACCTACAGATCCTGGGTAACCAGCAAAGCAATCCAGAAAAACTAACTCAGAGTCACATATAGCTTGAAGTATAACAGCATATTTTTTCTTATATGTCTTATAGGACAGAGAATCTTTCTTTAAAAAATAAAGTTTCAGCCAATGTAATATTTAGAGGTATTATGTATTTAAAATTAATATAAAATTATCCAGAGCTAATGAACAGAGTTAGGTCACCGTGCTATTATTATTAAAAAGTTATAATAATACGTTTCGGTTAAACAATGTTTTTTTACTTTATTTCTTTGATGATCGCATTTATGGTTAAAACATTTGATATTTTATTTGTTTAATATAATTGTTTAATAATAATAGCACAGTGACCTCTACTCAACCCTTGACAATTTTATATTAATTTTAAATGTTTAGAGCACATACACAAAATATTTATAAATTTTAATGTTCATTTTAATTTTAAACTCGCTCAACAAATTTTTTGCATAAAATCATATCATGATCAGAACATTGGATAAATCCATCAAGATATAGTTGTTTTAAACGAAAAAGAAACTTACATACGGCTCTTTTATAGAAATATGAGTACCATCCACAGCTCCAATAATGTCAGGTAGCACTGACAACCTTTGAAATTTTTGTTTTACTGTTGCTAATCTGTCTTCTCTTGGCCATTGTATGACATCTCTAGCGATGTCATTCAAGGCTTGTACAACCCTCATGAAACTGACATTCAGTGAGCTCTTACTCATGTCAAATCTTTCCCCTACAGACCTAAAACAAATACACTTATTCACAGACAAGATTCACACACACATGCACACGCACGCGTGCATACACACCACACACACACACACACTTTCAATGGTCGTGAATTACATATCATGACTATACATTTTCTACTACATCTGTGGTTGCATAGTTTTCACTGTCTCTTTAGAAAATGCTTTAAAAGAAACTTACCTGTAGGAATCTGGTGTAGCCAATAACCATAGAGTTGCAAGTAATTGCTTCCTGACTGGTATGTGAGATTTCATACCAACATCTCCTTGCAAAATTGGTGCCAATCTCTGTTCGAGTTGATTGTACGTTGTTGGAGTCATGCGAAAATGCTGCCTGAACTGCTCACGATGAAGTTGTGGGATTGTATGTTCTATATAACCTTCAATTCTTACAGGTTTGCGTTGAGGTCCTCGCAATTGCATATGTATTCGCATATCCAACTCCTCATCAGAGGTATCACTGCCACTACTGTCACTATCACTTTCCATTACTTCTTGTAAAAAATTTTTACTTATAGTCACAACTGACGCTATAATTACTCGATGATCCATCTTTAAGGTTAGGTGATTGTAGATGGACGTTTTCTTTGTTAATGGCACCTTTACACAGTCTCCAGAATGCATAGGTGCGTTCAGATTCTTCACTCCACCGAAATCACCTCACAGTAACTCCGCCCACTCCCAGTCCACCCTACCCACACTCGCTGGGTGAGAGATCTGAACGCACCCCAGGATAAGGAGCGCCACGGGTGGAAAATGCCCAATTCATTATCGGCGTGATCCGGCAGGCCTCTTGCTCGTCACTGTCCGGCGGAGCGTTCTCGAGAGCAGAGGTTCCTGCGCGTGGATGCCGAAGCATCAAAGGACCCATCGCTACCGGTGAGACGAACGGCCCTATATTCTTGTAAAGCCGCTAAATTCTTTTTTTGTGAGTACCGTATTCGGGAGAGAAGCGTGTCACGGCCGCGGCCGGTTATTAGATTCACCGGTGTAATTTCGCGATATTTCGAGAGGTTTGATTTAGAGTTTCGTTCCGCGTGGAATTTATCCCGGCGCCCGGCCGACCGCGTGCTCTCTCCCGCGCGTATACGTATTAAGAGAGGCTCTCTCTCCCGTGGATACGCCGACAGTCACCGCGATTTCGTTACATTAATGTAGAACAAAAGTATCGTTTCGTGATTATTGTGTCGTTCTCGTCTGTTAGAGTTTCTATATCTGAGAATAGAAAATTGTCTAGAGTCACGCATCCGAAATAGCGTATTCTTTCTCGCGCATATCATTATCCGCGCAGTCTTATGATTCTTTGTAAAATATTGCGAGGGACGACCGGAGTGATCGGTCGCAAAGGAAGTCGCGCGGGACTTACTACAGTTTACGGAAATTTTGTATTGCCTACAACCCTCAGAATTAATTACGCCGCACGGACCTTATTAAGTCTCGTGCGTTAATAATTAGTCGACACGTAGGCGTGCGAATTTACTTCCGAGTCCCGCGTGTCGTTCGATATCACCGCGTCGGGTCGTCTCAAAGGCGCGGAACAATAACAACGCGCCGCGTCTCGGCCGTAAATACGCCGTATTGTATTGTCCGAATCAAATTTCGGCCTCGTTTATTTGTATGTCGGCGTCATTAAAACGGAGATCCCTCCGTAGTATACCGAAAGAATATTGATTTTTCTTCTGGACCTAACAGGTCACTCAAGCTTTTATACCATTATTTTTCTGTCTATCTTCGTTCATCATATTCAAATATATTTAATGTTTGTTACATTTGAGCGATTTCAAATAGCCTTTCTCGAATTCCGTCCTCTCTCCCGTCCGAACTCCCCCCTCTACCCCCTGACGATCTGAGCGAGTCGATTATTGCCGTCGCGGAAATTTTCGGGATGATTTACTGATTATAAAGGTCATCTGTCGATTTGTAAATTTTCAGAGTGGCGCGAATCTCGCGCCTGGCGCCCAATTAAACATATTTTTGTGTTTACGCGAATTTCCCGCTTTCCGCACCGAAGGTGTGCCGTCGGCCATTTACATCGGCCCGATTTCCCGGATCCTTATTGATTCGACGGACTAATATAAAATCAACGGTTACAATATATATATATATATATATATATATATATATAAAACATAATATTAAAAAAACTCGCAGTTTTAATCGTTCTTAACGGACGATGAATACATTCTATGCACTCTGCACGAGGTTTACTGCACCATGAACAATAAGAGACTGAGAAAAATGATCAAACGTTTCGGACCAGAGAAAATAAAGATAGAATATATATATATATATAATAAAACACAATATTAAAAAAACTCGCAGTTTTAATTGTTCTTAACGGACAATGGATACATTCTATGCACTCTGCACGAGGTTTACTACACCATGAACAATAAGAGACTGAGAAAAATGATCAAACGTTTCAGACCAGAGAAAATAAAGATAGAATATATATATATATATATATATATATATATATATCCCGATTCAGCCGACTTTCGGACCAATATTTTTCTCGCCTATTTCTTTACAGGGGATGTTAAGAGAAGGAACAAGGGGAATTTTTGAGATCCCAACCATAGGATTCAAATTCCTTAATTTTCCAAATGTTCTTTCTTTCATAATTGTCGCAATAACATCGCGTTTGACTCTATTGGTCGAGAGGAATTAAGTGGAGATTGTGGTTTTAAAAATTAAAAGAGCTGACTTAATAAGTATTTTCATTATATATATATATATATATATATATATATATATATATATATATTCTTCTTTCTCCCACTCAAGTTTTCACAAACATTTATATCTTGGACTCAACCCTACTTAGTAGGATTTTGGCCCTACATATAGATCCTACCGGGTTTTTAGGTTGATATTTCTCCCTACGAGACCTCTACCGCTCAACGATGAAGATTGATTTTATATCATAATGGGTATGGACTCTGACTCATTTTATCAAGAAGAGCTATCTGGATTCGACGATCTTTAGAGTAGACTAGTTGTAATCTTTGCACATGAAAGCGATGTTGAATATCACCGTGGTTTGATGTGTATACTAACCTATTTAATTCATGAAAAGAATGTCGTGGACAATTTTCTAGATTCTGTATTTAGATTTATTGAAACAGGCAGTGTCAGAATTTGACGAAGCTTTATTGTATTATTTCACCGATACACCGCTGCCTTTTCCGCGAATATTCAGCAAAATCTTTTCGAGTTATTTATCAAACCTCGACTTCTCTTGTGTGAAGGCTCAAGACTATGAATCATGCCACTACTCTCCTGGGAAACTACGGAGTGTTTTAAGACGTGAAAAATTCGTAGAAATTAAGAGCAATGCGACAGTTTTTGACGCATACGTTAATGTCGGTTTGAAAACTTTTATTTTCAAGTTTACCGAAAAGAAAGTACGTGCACCTCCTGCACCTGAAGATAGACCTACGGGTGATCTAGCGACAAGCTTGATACCGTCAGATAATTATAGCGCAACCAACTTCTGATGTGAGAATTTCTCCCCCTAGGATTCATCCACATACAGTGGATTCGGATAAAATCCAGAACGGATTTCCCGACCAGAAGACTGAGAAGAAGAGGGATATCAGCAGGCCAAAGTACCGATATGGGATTTGTAGTGATCCTGTACTCCGGATGGACATTGCTGTTCATAGGCCTAGCTGCATTGTATATGCTCCTCCTGCTTCTGGAAAAACAACATGGTTGAAGCAACAACAAGGCAATAAGGTTATCGACACGAAAGACTATCCGTGTGATCTTGGAACTGATAGTGTTGTTACTGATTGTAGTGAACTGGCAAAGTTTGGAAAGACCTCCATATAGATCCTACCTACGTCATCTCTTTTTCTTAAACGAGAACAAAGAAATTCAAAAAACTCTTCGCGTGTTCTTCAGGTCTCGTCCAATTGTTTGCTAAATTGTCTATGTCGTAAAGTAACTGCTTTTTTTTACCTTTTTTTAAATATATTTATATTATACACGTAATACGCTACAATGTTATACATGTCACTAGTAATTCACATCATTGTCATTTTTATTATATAACGTTTGCATAATTTTTAAAACTGTTAATAATAAAGAATATTAAACGTGATTTTTTGATTTTTCATAAAAATAAATAATCTGATAAGAATATCCAATGTGAATCATCGATCATTTAATATCGACGTTTCATATAAAATTTCTACGTGAATTGAATAATTTATTAGCCACACACACAGATATCGTGTACTACATATGACATATATATGTTATCTATCTACATTAATTGTTAATAATAAAAAATATTTTAAGTATGTTAATCTTTTTCTTTTAATTAAAATATAAATTTAAAGTTTTGTATAAAATAATTACTGTCCATATTTTCAAGTTTGCTTTTATTTCATTCTTACACGGAAAATCACCTCATTAACAATTCTATTTCTTTCACAGCCTGCTAGTTATTAATAATGTAGAAGGTCGACACGACCGTTGGTCACGGTCACGGTATGTGTGTGTCATGTGATTTTCGGCTGCTGGCGGCGCGCGATCCGCGCCCAACAGCAAGAGCGATGCGTGATTTCAGTCAGTCGAGATCCGCACCTGACTTCGTCAATATTGAGAAATAATATGTGTACGCGGCATGAGTGAGCCGATCGACAAATACTTCGTGTATCTTAATACTGTTACAAAATATATTTTGTGATTCTCCCTTCTGGAACTCTCCGATCTGTTTCATTTTTATGCTACATATTAATTGTATAACATCCTTCAAACTTTTGGGGGCTTGTCCGGGATAGCAGTGAGACATTTGGAGACGTGGCCGGAAGATACATTAAAGAGAGAATTTGACGACGTAGTCAGGTAGTGCGAGGAGTTTGAGAGCGAAACGCGCGTGTCGGGGTACGAGGGACGGTGCTGCGACGTGGAGGGCGGTTTTAGAGACGGTTCTCGTTGAGTGGAGTGCGGTGTAGAGTCGCCGTAATGAAAGATCCGAACAGATTCACCGTCGTTGCGTTGAAGGAGCTGTTGGCGGCGCGCGAACTGTCCACTGCGGAGTTGATCGCGCGGTTGATGGAGGACGATCTGTCGGGGGCGTGGATGGACGGACAGGACGAGTGTGGTGACAGCGGCGAGGATTCGCAGCAGCGAGAGGTGGTTGGTGCAGCGAGTGCACAACCGGCATCGAGTCGGCAGCAGCGAGAGGCAGCTAGTGCGGCGAGTGCACAACCGGCATCGGGTCGGCAGCAGCGAGAGGCAGCTGGTGCAGCGAGTGCACAATCAGCATCGAGTTGGCAGCAACGAGAGGTCGAGCTGCATAAGAGGGAGAGAGAGTTGGCGGAACGAGAGTTGACGGTAGCGCGTTTGGAGCTGGAGGTAATGCGCAAAAGGATGCAAGCCGAGCAGACTATAGTGGGCGAGCGACGGCAATCGACGCGTGTGGCCGCGGCGATTGAGCGGGAGCAAGTGCTGGCGATGGCGACGGGGAGCAGCGGCGGTAGCGACGATATTCCGGCCTCGTTGGTTCAAATGCGAACGAACATAACGGTGATTGCGAATCTGCTGAGTGTTTTTGATGGTAAATCCAGTCATTATGAGACGTGGGAGAAGCAGATAAAGCAGCTTAGGTCGACGTATCGATTGGAGAACGACGTTGCGAAAATTCTCATCGACATGCGACTAAAAGGAAGAGCGCACGAGTGGTTGCATTCCAGGGCGGAACACATCACGATGACATTCGACCATCTTCTGGATGAGTTAAAAGCTATGTTCTTTAGGCGGCAGAGCAAAGTGACAACGCGGAAAAAATTTGAGGAGCGAGTGTGGAGGAAGGGCGAAACGTTCCAGGAATATTTCCATGAAAAGATTATCTTGGGCAACCATGTGCCATTGAAGAGGATGAAATGCTAGAGTATCTGATCGAGGGGATTCCAGACGAGAGACTAAAGATTAAGCACGCATCCAGCGATTTGCAGCGGCGGATGGACTATTGGAAGCATTCGAGAGGGTGACCCTCCGAGACCGAGGTATATCCAACGCATCAAGGTCAACGAGAACAGAGAAGCGAGTCAGCGACCAGGGAAGAAGTGAGCGAAGAGAAACCGCAAACGGTAGCGAGAATAGGAGGTTCACGGGTAAAATCGCGTATTGTTTTAATTGTGGCGAACGTGATCAATTAGGCATAAATTGTCCGACTAAAGGGCAAGGCGCTAAGTGCATTCAATGCGGAAAGCGGGGGCATATTGCGTCGAGGTGCGTTAAGAGGACAAAAGCGGGTAAAGAGCTGCGCGATATCGGGGGCTTCGCATCGTAAATATCTTAAAAATGTTTTTTTTAACGATCGTGAGATAGAGGCATTGATCGATTCGGGAAACGACTTTAGTTTGATCCGCGCGGACGAATACATCAATCGGTTCTCCGTGTTTGCGATGTAGCAGGCTGTTATTTGATGGCGTAGGTTCAAATAATAAACAACATTGGGAAAATTCCAAGCCGAGCTCAGAATTGAAGGGCATTCATATTTGGTTTGTATACATGTCGTGTCAGATACGATGCTTCGACACAATTATTACTGGGAACGGATTTCTTAAATTTGACCAATGTTAATATCAGGGGCGGCGATATGACTATCCGTCTGTTGGCACAGATAACGCGCGAAGTGGTAGAGCATGCGAGCGTCGAATCTGGGGCGATGAGCGATGTGGCGGAATGTGAGAGTACGCGCGACGTGGTGAGGCGCGCGAGCGTCGAGTCGGAGGTGGCGAGCGATATGGCAGGATGCGAGAATATGCCGGAGATACTTAAGATAGATGTAATTCGCGACGAAACGTGCGAAGCGAGTCACGTAAATGTCTCGCATGTCAAGGACTCTCAGCGGAGAGAAGCGATAGAAAAATAATAAATAAATAATTACAAGCCAGACAGAACCGGTGAGGCTGAGGTAAAAACCCCCCGTGGACCACCACCTTGGCGTGGTGGGGGGCTCACCCTTTGCAAGGGAATAGCCTTGCGAGGGGTGCTAAGAGTGGTTTGTACCTCTCGAGGTACACTACCCCCGGTCTCGGGGGCATGCCCTCCGTCTCTGGGGGCTCTCCTCGAGGTGTGAAAGAATTCCACATCCCGGGGAGACGGGGACCACTTCCCCGTTAGAGCTTCGGCTCGTATGTGGTAAGGGATGGCGACCCGGAATTCAAACGCCCGGTGGCATGGCACCGTTAGGAGAAGGGACTGCACGGCGCTTCGGCGCTTTCCTTCGCACCATGCTATGTGGCTCGGCACGCCTGCCGGGTAGACGGCTTTCGCCGTCTGGGGTCTTGTCTCTGTCCTGGGGGGGCTTTTTTCGGGGTTTTTCCTGGGGGAGTCCCCCCGGGGTCTGGGGTGGAGTTTTGGCGGCGGGGGCCGCAGGGGAGGGATGTGTGTGCCGCGCGTGATCAGCTGAGGGGCCCTGCCCGGAGGGTTTCCCGAGGGGCTTTGCACGGAGGGGGCTATATCGATCGGTCCTCGGGGCCCACTCGTGGAGTAGTTCCCGGGGACAGAGAGGTACCTCAGGGTGCTGATAGAGAGCCGGCTCTCGTCTCAGCGTCCCTGGGGTAGGCCGCACCCAGGCCGCTCGGACGTTTCCGAGGCAGGGCTGGGTCGGCGGAGGCGGCCACGCGTGGTTACCCGAGGGGCATAGCCCGGAGAGTTTACTCAAGGGGCACTGCCCGGAGGAGACCACGCGTGTCGGCCGTCGAGGCCGCTCGGACATTTCCGAGACGGGGCTCGACGGCGAGTGGGACGTCGCAGGGTGCTGGTCGGAGAGCGTGCTCTCGTCCAGCGTCCCTGCGACTTGCCATCCTCGGGCCGCTCGGACGTTTCCGAATCCGGGCCGAGGATGACGGAAAAGGCACGTCGCGGTTACCCGAGGGGCATAGCCCGGAGGGGTTACCCAAGGGGCATAGCCCGGAGGGGTTACCCAAGGGGCATAGCCCGGAGGGTGCCGCGGCCGCCTGCCGCCGGGCCACTCGGACGTTTCCGAGGCAGGGCTCGGCGGCGAGGAAGATATCCCCAGTCGGTCGGGACCGTTTCCCCTTCCGAACCGACCGACCGGAGAGGCGCATGCCCCTCGTCGAAAGCCTTCGACGAGGGGCGACACGGTATGCTGGTCGCCACGGCGTGTAGGGCAGGGCCGGGGAGCGGCGACCCTGTCCAAAGCGTCCGTGGGGCCCCCCCGGGTGGCGCCGCCCATCACGGTACCCGCATTGTCGGAGATGTGGGACTCCTGAAAGCTCGCGTGGGCGTCAAAACCCGCGCGGGTGTGTAAGGGGCTCGGGTCAGGCCGGGGTGCGGTATTCCCCCGGCCAATGACGTACGTCCCCTCCCCGGGGGAACTTGGGGACCGGCCTTGGGATGTGGCTGGTCATGTTTCGGGGCACCCCTTGGCCGGTGGGGGTATACCCTGGGGGACAGGAGCCGTGATGGGAACGTGGGATTGTTAGAAATGGAGAGACTAAAAACTCACACAAAAAAGGAAAACGAGGCAAAAGAGTCTGCAGAGGAGCAGAATGTACAGGTAGGAGAAACCTCAGTCGTGCCTAACGTAGCCAGAGAAGCATTCTCGGCAATGGAAAGGTCTAGGGAGATCACAAGAGATCTCCAAATTAGACTGTCAAGGGTGGACACTCAATCATCATCAGGCACGAGTGTACTTTCTACAAAGGTTCATGGATCGGAACCAAGACCAAAAGAAGGGGAGCAAATACATCGCCTGCGGCAGGAACGACGGCCAACAGATCAAGGAGCCCGTCAAAAACAAGGCACGCGTCGAGATCGGGATCGGAGCATGGAACATGCTCCAAATATGACGTTGACAATGCCAGTATAAAAACAGAAAGGGCAGATCTCCCGGCTTTAGAAAATTTGAGAAGGCCATAGATCTCGAAATTGAAAGACAGGGAGACAAGTTGCTACAACAGCAACAACAGCAGGAACCGCCGCAGCAGGAACCGCTACAAGTTGCGCACGGCCGGGACGTGGAAAAAGAGGATATAATTCCCATAATTGAGGAAAAAAAGAAGCAGGGCCGGCCCCTAACTACGGGAGGACACAAGATCCTTCAGGAAAACAAAGAAAGAAGGAAGAAGAGAAGAAACTCCAAAAAGAAAGGGACATTATGGACCCCTTATAAAACCGGCGCAATCCAATTCATATAAGGAATTCTTGAAGAGGATAAAAGAAAAAAAAAGAGAAGTATAGGAATGCGCCAGTATTGGATCTGGAGGCAATGATCTCCGAGAAAAACATAGACATATATAAAATGGCTGTGCAATCAGGAAACATAAAAGGAACGCTGGTAAAACTGGCGAAGGTTGCGGCGGCCGACATGTGCGCAGCCGCAATAATTCTGGCGTTAAAGGCGCAGAGTCCGCAGGAGATGCAGGTGGCGGAGCAAATAAAAGAGTTGAGGCACCAGATGCATCTCCTGAGGATGAAAAACGCACAACTGCGCAGAATGGTCGAACAGACAAAACGACCAAAGAAGAAAAACTTTGATAATATCGAAATTCCCAAGGACCGCTCTGGGAAAAACAAGATCTCTCCCTATTTCAGGAAAGGGGAAAAGGACGGAGAGGTGGGTTAAGGAAAACTCGCCTCCACCGGAAGAGGGGGGAATCTCGGCGATCGGGATGTACCCGACCACCGAACTCCACTTCCATCAACAAGTGGGGAGCCCTCCAAAACCCGGGGGAAAGAACTAATGGAAAGACGCCTCTATCCACGGATAGGGTCCCCCCAAAAGCCCCTGAAACAGAGGAAATGGAGGTGGTAACTGAAGTCGGAATTTTCCAGGAAAAGGATTTTCCCCCTCTTGAAGAGAGGAAGCAAGGAAGAGGTAAGGAGAAGCAAGCCTCGATCCCTCAAACACGAGGAAGAGTAATTGAAATCTCCAAACAGCCCTCCCAAGAAAGGAGCGAGAAAGGAAAAAGCAGGAAGCTCTTATTGCCATGATGGAGGGCATATGCGAGCGCTTAATGGATAAGAGGCTGGGCAACCCGACTCTCAGCTATAGTCAGAGGAAAGAAACTGAGAGAGCGCAAAAGGAAGCACCAAAAGATAAAAAAGGGGCTGCATCTCAGAAGGAAAAGGTAAGGCCAATAAAGAAAACTGAAAACATTCCGGCAACAACATTAAATCACCGGCAAAACCGCCTGGCAAGGATCAAGAAAATAGAGAAGGTTTCAATAAAAATCCCCCATAGTCAAAAACAACGGGGAAATAAGGAGCAGAAAAATAAGAAAACAAACTCCAAGAGAAGGAGTCAGCCCAACAAAAACAACAACAAGGGTCAACAGAAGTGTCGAGAAGGACAGCACAAAAAATGAAGAGGAAAGATCAACCTCCAATACGAGGGGCCGGGGCCCCCACCCCTGCTGCAGCCCCAAGCGGGAAGCAGCGGCCTGGACCCCCCAAAAAACAAAGAGAGCCAAAATGGCGGCGGTGACGATCACCTGCCCCCCGGGGAAATATGAGGAGGTGATGACAGAGGCGCGCCAGAAAATAGGCCTGAAAAACCTAAAAGGCCTAAGAATAAATGAGGGAGTCAAGATCCGGAGAGCAATCACCGGAGCCCTCATATACGAAGTCCCGGCGAGAACAGCAGCGAGCTAGCAGACAGATTAGCTCTCAAGCTGAAACAAGCTCTCGTCGGGAGAGAAGGAGTAAGAATTCAGCGCCCAACAAAGACGGCTGAACTCAGAGTGAGGGGATTAGACGAGTCAGTCACCCCCTCAGAAGTTAGAGAAACCATCGCCAAAGATGGCAACTGCGAAGAAGAGGAGGTAAATGTGGGTGAAATAAAGACAACGCCCAATGGGATAAAAATGGCCTGGATCAGATGCCCAATCAAGGCCGCAAATATAGTGGCCAAAAAGGCAAAAATACAGGTTGGATGGGCACTGGCAAAGGTGATACTATTAGAAAACCGCCCCCTCCAGTGCTACAAATGCCTGGAGGGTGGTCATGTCAGGGCACGATGCCCGAATAAAACTGACCGCAGTGGTAAATGTTATCGCTGCGGTCAGGAAGGCCACGAGGCCAGGACGTGCGAAGCCCCGGTACACTGCGCGGTGTGCGGCGATAAAAACCTTCCCGCTAACCATAGGACGGGAGGGAAGGCCTGCACATCCGCACAAAAGGGTAGAAGAGGGTTCCCACTACATAAATATAGTAGGGGGACCCCAAAGAAGACAAGAAGTCACCCCTATGGATGTAGAAGTAAAAGTGACGCCTGCCCTGAAGGAACCTGGGAGCGGCCTAAAGAGCAAAGGCCCCTCAGGATAGGGGGAAAGAAAAAGACTGAAAAGAAGGAAGGAGAAAGCGATCCCGAACAGGGAATAGGCAAGAGGCAGCGACTCAAAGAGGGACTTGAAGAAGAGGATAAAGATGCCATAGAGATAGTGGCAGAAGGCAGGAAGGTGTCGGTGACCAATGATGGCAAACAATAAGATATTGCAAGCCAACATCAACCACGCGAGGGACGCTCAGGACCTTTTCATCCACACAATGGCGGAAAGGTCCTGTGGCATTGGAATTGTGGCGGAGCCGTACAGGATATCAGATAGAAACTGGGTCAAAAGTACAGACGGCTCCGCCGCAATTGTAAGAAGGAATGTGCGCGACTTCCCACCCCTAAATCTGATTGAAGCGGGAGGAGGATTTGTTGTAGCTTCCTGGGGGTCTTTCGTAATAATAGGCATATATCTCCCGCCGAGCTTGGAAAGGGGAGCGTTTGGCGGGAGACTTAAAACTCTGGAGCGGCAGATCGCGAAGCACCACTCCCGTCCGATGATAATAGCGGGGAACTTCAATGCCAAATCAACGGCATGGGGTTCCCCGCACACCGACTGGCGGGGGGGCGAAGTAAGCGATTGGGCGGCGCAGTGCGACGTTATACTCTTAAATGAAAGACGCGAAAACACGTGCGTGCGTTGGCAGGGCGGGTCGATCGTAGACCTTACATGGATGACCCGCTCTGCAATTAGGATGGCACAGAGTTGGAGGGTGGCGATGGAGATAGAAACATTATCGGACCATAGGTACATAGAAATCTCTGTCGCCACCACAACAAAGGAAGTCGCGGAGCGCCGTCGGAAGATAGAAGCCAGCTTCAGAAGATGGGCCCTCAGGAAGCTCGACAAGGATATGTTCATGGCAGCTATTAACGCTGCACTATTAATAAAGGAGGGGGAAACCGGGGACTTGGAAACACATAGGGCATGGCTGGACAATACAATGCAGCAAGCTTGCGAGGCCGCCATGCCCAGAGTTAAGACCCGGTCTCCAAAGCATGCATACTGGTGGTCGGAGGACATTGTTGAATTGCGGCAGTCCTCCGACCGGGCCAGGAGAAACATCAGAAAAAGGCAGAGGTACGCGCTATCGGACCCCGAAGGATTAGAGGACGCGTGGGACGCATACCGAAACGCAAGAGATGTCCTGCGTGCCTCCATCCGCAAAGCAAAGGCGAAGGCCTGGGAGGAGTTAATCTCCTCCCTGGATGAGGACCCGTGGGGCCGTCCCTACAAATAGTCCTAAACAAACTGAAAGAAGGGACGGCACCAATAACGGAGTCACTGGACCCCCATTCTGTCCAAGACATAATCAGTGTCCTGTTCCCTCGCGGGGATAATATAACAAACCCCATCCAAGCGAGGGAGCAGGAATGGGATGAGACAGAAATGGGGATCACGGGAAGGGAGATCCGGGATGCCATCAGGAAAATCAAGAAGAGGAAAGCCCCAGGGCCTGACGGCCTCCACGGGAAGCTATGGGCCCTCGCCTTTAAAGAGTTGGTAGAGCCCATGAGGCACTTATATAATGAGTGCCTCAAGACGGGCACCTTTCCCCAGGTATGGAAGAAGGCGTCAATCGTCCTGATTCCAAAGGAGGGCAAACCCAAGGAGTCGCCCTCGGCGTACAGGCCCATATGCCTGCTGGACGAGGCGGGAAAAATACTCGAAAGAGTAATCGCGGCTCGCCTCGTCCACCATCTGTCCCGGGAGGGTCCAAACTTGGACAGACAGTAAGGCTTCCGGGCCGGGCGGTCAACTGTCGACACAATCTTGCGTGTCCGCTCGGCCTCGGATGCCGTGGTGAGGGAAGGCGGGGTGTTGTTGGCGGTATCCTTAGACATATCGAATGCCTTCAACACCCTGCCGTGGCACCGGGTGGGGGAGGCCATGAAATATCACAGGGTTCCCCCATACCTGGTGTCCATAGTGGCGGACTATTTCAGGGACAGGCGGTTGACCTACATAGACAGAAACGCCGAGGAGCGAAGCAGAAAGATGTCATGCGGGGTTCCACAAGGCTCAGTGTTGGAGCCACTAATGTGGAACCTGGCGTATGACATCGCCCTGAGAACTGCCCTCCCCCCCGGCTGTCAGGCAATCTGTTACGCCGACGACACGTTGATACTGGCCGGGAGAGACACCTGAGGAGAAGCGACGAGACGTGCAAACCTGGCAGTGGCGCGCGTGGTGCAAACCATTAAGGACATCGGTCTAAGGGTGGCGCCTCAAAAGGCAGAGGCTGTCTTTTTTCACAACAGAAGAATAGGGCGCCACCCAAAACGACCATAGTGGTGGAAGACACCCCCATAGAGATGGGGACCCAAATAAAATACTTGGGTCTCCACCTGGATGGTAAATGGACATTTGGCGAGCACTTTCGCCGGATAACCCCGAGGGTAGACAGAGCCGCGATGGCCCTATGTCGGCTTCTGCCGAATCTCGGGGGGCCCGACGAAAGGGTTCGCCGATTATACACCGGGACTGTCCACGCAATGATAATGTACGGAGCTCCCGTATAGGCGGAAAAACTAGAGGCGACCCGGAAGCTGCGAGATTCACTGCACCAGCTGCAGAGACGGGTCGCCAACAGAGTGTGTAGGGAATTCCATACAGTTAGCTGGACGGCAGCGGGGGTACTCCCCGGAATACCTCCCATCGAATTGCTAGCCCGCATGTACACAGAAGTGTATAAACGTACACGCGGGCTGCAAAAGGAGGATATTATTGTGACGGACAATATCCGGCGTAATCTGAGGGTCCGCACCCGGCGGCGTTTAATCGAAGATTGGTCCGGGAGACTAGAAGATCCCAGTCTTCCCGGGCAGCGCACCGTCGGGACCATCCGACCCTGCCTGGAACAGTGGCTGGGCAGGGCGAAAGGGGGTGTTACATACCGGATGACTCAGGTGCTCACCGGGCATGGATGCTTCGGTGAGTACCTGAGGAGAATCGGAAAGAAGCGCACCACGCGCTGCCATCACTGCGGCCACCAACGGAACATCGCCCAGCACACGCTCGAAGAATGTGTTGCCTGAGCGGGCGAATGAGCAGAGATGGTGGCCGCAGTCGGGAGGGATTTGTCGCTCCCAGCAATAATACAAAAGATTGCTGGGAGCGAGGAGGCATGGAAATCCTTCTCCTCCTATTGCGAAGCTGTGATGCGGCAGAAGGAGGAGAAGGAAAGAGATAGAGAGAGGAAGGGACAAAGAAGAAGAGAGTGGGAGGAGGGAGAGGTTGCCGGTGGCAGCGAAGAAGACGAGGAGAAGAATCAACATATAGGTGGGGGTGTGCCCCTTCCTTCCTCGGCGCCCGTGGCGGGCAACTGCTTGCCCGGCGGGGGCGTCGGGAATCGGGGGGGAGGGGGGCGCACGCCTGCCATACCCGCATCTAACATAAATGCGGGATAGGGTCTCCGGGGGGGACTAGGGACATCTAAGTCTCAGGGCTCCCCCCCCCGAAGACCTCTCGAGAACCGGGGGCGCGGGCGCGTCGGCCTCGCCTAGGCGGGGTTGGCAAGGCCGCGCCCCCAAAAGGGCGACCCCCCCCTCGGCTGTGGTCAAATCTTAACTCCCAAGGGAGCGGAGGGAGCCGCAACCAGGGGGCGCCGAGGGGGGGCCACGTGTCCTGGCGGGCGGGCATTGCTCTCCCGCCTGGGGCGCCTGGGCCCCTCTCAAGGACGGAGACGTGACGTGTGGGGCTCTTTCACCGGGAGCCATATGGCACCGGTGGAAGGGCAACACCGTCCACGAAAGGGGGTTTCTCTCCTTCAGAGAGGAACCCCCTGGTGAGGTCTCCCCTTGTGGAACGCCGAACCGGATCACCCTCTAGGGGATCCGAGGGCTGCGTCCACTGGGGGGGCGAAGGGCGATGGCTCGAGCGGGAATTCTCGAGCCATGGCTCCGCCCCTCAAACTCTTTGGGAGGGCGTGGCATGAGGTCGATGTCGCCTCGTGCCGCAACCGCGTCGATACCGCACAGTCATTGACTGTGCGGTCGGGGAGGTGTTTCGGCCATAAGGTCGAAGCGGCTCCCCGGGACTATTGGCGGGGGGGGGTGGTTTCCGAGACGGCTATGGGAAACTAGCATCCTCGGTACCCCCCATTCAACGCCACGAGTAGGACATCCGTTGGGGTTTTAGTGCGGTAGGTCTTGGGCCCCCTGGTCGAAGCATGAGTGGCTCGATCAAGGGAAACAAGGAGTCCCACATAACCCGCACCTCTACCCGGAGGTGCGTGGTACCATGACGGTTTCCCCAGCGTCAAAAAAAAAAAAAAAAAAGGCTGAGGTAACAATAAAACTTGTGCTTATGGATGAGGAGCCGGTGTATCAGTCGGCAAGGCGCTTATCGGCGTTCGAGAGAACAGTAGTTAACGCGCAAATCGATCGGTGGATTGCGGATGGAATCGTGCGACCATCTGTTTCTGATTATGCGAGTCCAGTGGTTTTAGTTTGAAAGAAAGACGATACGTTTAGACTGTGCGTAGATTATTGGCTAATAAATAAGATTATTAAAGACAGATATCCGCTGCCATTGATCGAGGACCAGATTGATATGTTGCAGGGCGCGCGTGTTTTTAGTACGCTCGATTTGACGAACGGTTTCTTTCATGTACGAGTGGACGAATCGAGTCGGAAGTATACGGCATTTATTGTGCCCGATGGCCATTACGAATTTTTACGAGTTTCTTCCGGTCTCTTTAATTCGCCGGCGGTGTTCCAGAGATATGTGAATACAGTATTTAGAGATCTCATACGGGAAAGATAGTTTTGGCATATATGAACGACTTGATTATACCATCCAGCGATGTCGAGAGTGGCATTAGAAATCTGGAAAGAGTGTTGGTAACGACAAGGGAGGCGAGCCTGATGATCAATTGGAGTAAGTGTTGCTTTTTGGATACCACTGTTGAGTTTTTGGATCACGTGATTTGTAACGGATGCGTTCGTCCGTTGGATCATAAGACTGAGGCGGTGCGACGTTTTCCATGTCCTGCGAGCGCAAAACAAGTGCAAAGTTTTCTTGGTTTGAGCGGGTATTTCCGTAAATTTATCCCCGGATATTCCACGATTGCGAGGCCGTTAACAAATCTTTTGCGTTCGAATGTTGAATTTCATTTCGGAGCGGCTGAGAGAGACGTGTTTATGCGGCTTAAAATTATGTTAAGTGAGAAATCGATTCTGAGTCTGTATCGGGTCGAGGCGGAGGCAGAATTACATACAGATGCCTCGGCGTTGGGGTATGGTGCGATTTTGCTCCAACGAAATAGCGACGATCAGCGCTTCCATCCTGTGTATTATTCTAGCGGGAAGACGACGCCTACAGAGGCAAAATACAGTAGTTACGAGTTAGAGGTGTTAGCGATAATAAAGGCATTAAAAAGATTTCGCGTCTATTTGCTCGGTATCGCATTTACGATTGTCACCGATTGTCGTGCGTTCGCGCTCACTATGAGCAAGAGAGACCTTTGCGTGCGTGTTGCGCGGTGGGCTTTGCTTCTTGAAGAATTTAATTACCGCATAGAGCATCGGCCAGGTAAAAATATAGCTCACGTTGACGCGCTTAGCCGAAACCCACTGCCTACGTGTTTAGTAATTGACGAGTCCGAGACTGGGCTGACGGTTCGTTTGCGGAAGGCTCAGGAAGAGGACGACGGTGTGATGAAGCTCCGAGAACTGGTGCAACAAGACAAGACGCAGGATTATGTGATGCGAGGCGGTCTGCTTTATAGAGAGTCTGGTGGTGATATTCAACTCGTGGTGCCGAAAAGAATGCAGACGCAAGTTATACGACGTGCTCACGAGCAGAGGCACTTTTCCGTGGAGAAGACTATGGATCTGGTACGCGCTGACTATTGGATTTCAAATCTGCGACAACGAGTTGAGAAGGTGGTGCGGAACTGTATTGCGTGCATTCTGGCCGAGCGAAAGCGTGGGAGGCAGGAGTGCCTGCTGCAACCGATCGAGAAGGGAGGTGTTCCTCTCGATACGCTGCACATTGACCATCTTAGACCTTTACCATCGACGAAGAAGTCGTATCGTTATGTTTTCGCCGTGGTTGATGCTTTCTCCAAATTCACGTGGTTATACGCCACAAAGTCTGCGGGTACAGCTGAGGTTGTAGCGACACATCAGCGGATGAAGAGGATGGTGATGTTAATTTATAGATATGGACATTCGAGACGAATGAAGGGTCAGAACGGCGAGTGTAGAAGGTCGACACGACCGTTGGTCACGGTCACGGCATGTGTGTGTCATGTGATTTTCGGCTGCCGGCGGCGCGCGATCCGCGCCCGGCAGCAAGAGCGATGCGTGATTTCAGTCAGTCGAGATCCGCACCTGACTTCGTCAATATCGAGAAATAATATGTGTACGCGGCATGAGTGAGCCCATCGACGAATACTTCGTGTATCTTAATACTGTTACGAAATATATTTTTGTGATTCTCTCTTCTAGAACTCTCCGGTCTGTTTCATTTTTATGCTACATATTAATTGTATAACATCCTACAATAATATCTCTTGTTAGTTATTAATAATATAACAAATAAATTATTTCTACATTTTTTATGTGATTTAAAATTTTTCATAAATCTTTTAAACCAAAGCAGATTTTTTATCATTTTATAGAATTAGCTATAGGTCTTTTGAAATTTGCAATAATTTATTGAGAAAGGAGACAGTTCATTACTTATGTGCAAAACATTTGTAAATTAAAAAAAATTAAGTACAAATTAAAATTAAATTTTTTTAAATTGCATTTATATTTCAAACTTTTTAGATCTCAGATATTATTTTAAATGTTTCAAAAAACAATTTTTTTGCGTAGTCTTTTAATTTTATTTTTGGCCAGGTTATTGCAAAATCGCTTTTTATACGATACACCGATTAATTAAAATAACAAAAAGTGCACAGATAAAACATACCTCTGTTATAGTCCGAATGACTATAACTATATTATATTAAATATAGTTTTAATAATAAATTAGTAAGTTGACTATTATGCAATCGTTTGAGAAACGTTCTCACGCTCTCGCGAAGCGCTTATCGCGAAAAGACGCAAACGCGACGGAATATAAGCGTTACACCGAAAACCGCGGATCGCAAGCGAAGAATCAACCTACTTCGTTTGCACCTAGATAAAAACGTGTGAATAAAAATTAGCCAATGGAAGAGCTTTTCTACATCTTCCCCCAAAAGATGTAGAAAAGGGCAGGAGACCACCGCGAACGGAGAGCGAGGCGATGAAGGCAGTCGTTAACAAATATCCGAAAAGACAAGTCGTTAATTAGAACCTAACTAAGAGTCGAAGACAAGCCGCAGAATACAAACTATCACCTGTAATCTAACTGCCGAGTGCGAGCATACTTAACTAACCACCCAGGTGGGATTAGACATAATTAAACCAACTCGAGAAATAAGAGAAATAAAGGATTTATTCAAATAAACAAGTAAAGTTTTTCAAAGTGGAGACGCTCGCCGATCCTAGGATCCTCATCCTTCAGTCGGCTGAGACCCAAAATTTTCAGTGCCTTCTCGGAGGCACAACACCTCTGACCAAACTTTTTCTTCCAGAATGTGTTGTCGTCAGCTATATCTCGAAATTTCGTGCACGTGGAACGTACACGATTTACAATAATTACAATGTCTTTCAAACTAATATTCTCGTTTTCCATAATTGTGAAAGTTATCTCGGGAGGCAAATCCAGTATTGTAGCCATTATTTAATGCGAATAATATTATATATATATATATATATATATATATGTATATATATAACACAATATTAAAACAACTCGCAGTTTTAATCGTTCTTAACGGACGATGGATACATTCTATGCACTCGGCACGAGGTTTACTGCACCACGAACAATAAGAGACAGAAGAATGACAAAACGTTTCGGAACAGAGAAAATAAAGATAAATAGTATATTGTGATACAAGTGCGAGAAGTTGACAATTGCCGCACGAGCCGAAGGCGAGTGCGTTCACCTCCACGAGTGCGACAATTGCCAACTTGCACGTGTATCACATACTATT